AGAGAGAGAGAGAGAGAGAGAGAGAGAGAGAGAGAGAGAGAGAGAGAGAGAGAGAGAGAGAGAGAGAGAGAGAGAGAGTTCCCTTCTCTTGTGGGTGAACATTTCTAGTGTAACGATTGTTGGTTTCAGTCTCGAGTCTCGACATTTATTCCACCATTGTGCTGCTTTTTTGTTGCATTCCTGTTTTGGTGGCAATACACAGGGGATTCTGATAATTTCATCAACTATTCTAACTCTTTGCTGTCATAAATCCTTGTGCCCATAAGAAGCAAAATCTGTCGGAAAAGGATGTAATGAATTGCTCTGCTGGTGTGATGTCTTTGTCATATTTTGCAATGCTCTAGTTCCAATCTTTTCACACGACTTACCGTCTTTCCCTCAACAGAGCACACACTGATTATGAATGTATAGAAGCTACCTTTCTGGTCCTGTGCAGTCAAAATGAGGATGTGTTGTGTTCAGGGGGAGGACGGAATTTTGGGAAAGGTGCTGTTGACAACCTGGCTCACATCTTCCAACAGCGGTGGGGCTAGCTTACCTTTTCGGATATGGCTGGGGCTTCAAGTGCCTTGACCAACCAACTCTCAATATGGCCGATTCTCCTCTTCCAGTCTGTTCTGCCTTGCCGCCCGCCCTTTGCTGCATCCTGACTGAGTTTCAGAACCGAGCCTGCTTTTATAACCTAGCATTTACTTAACAGTGGAGGGCAATTTGTTGATTGGCGGTGTCGGTAAACAATTTCCTCTATCGTGATTTATTATCTGGGCGCAGGGGGATCAACCTCATTGTGGATTTCCTGAGAAAAATTATGCTGAGAATGCCGAGCGTCTCGCAAGAAAGGTAACTGTTGTTCTTTTTCTCCTGCCCACCACGACCAAGGTTGATTGTATCTCATTTAAGGAAACTTATCTGGTGCCTGTGCTATGTGAGTGCTTTAACAGTCAGTCTGCGGATGCTTTACACGATATTCCCTTTGTCTGTCTGCTCCGAAGTTGTATAAATGTTCCCTGTAATCTCAGTGGCCTCAATGATCTTTGTGCTGTGCTCTTTACCCCCGTGCTCATGTCCTGTAGCCATATGTGGGTGTTAAGTCTAAGTGCGACAGTTATCCCAAATCACTGTGTGTTGGATTGAAGCCATTCCTCATAGTCTGGGTTCCCCTACCGTATACTCTTTTTCCTCCTCCTATCCTGTTCATGACGTTCTCTTGTTCTCTTCATTCCTCTCTTCCCTTACCCTTCCTCCTTCTCTCTCACTGTTACATTCGCTCCTCCCCCCCCTGCCCCCCCCCCTCTCAGTGTGCGTGTGTCTGGGGGTGGGCGTAAGTGTGATTGTTGATGTGGGAAGGTTGTCTGTGTGCGTGGGTGTGGGCATGTGTATGTGCGTGTGTGCATATGTGTGGGTGTGGGTGTGGGTGTGGGTGTGGGTGTGGGTGTGTGGCTGTGCATGCATGAGGTGCGTGCTAAACACAACTCCATAAAGAAAGCGGTGACTCTGAGAGAAATGCGTGGGCGTGAGTTTGCGTATGTGTTCTGCTGCTGTGCATTGTGTGTGGGGGTGGGAGTGGCGATGGGGGTGTGCACGTGTGTGAATTCTGAACATGTCCCTTCGGGCTTGAGAACATTTGTGAATTCTGATGCATGTGTTTTGCTTTGGTGGTTGCTTTGCCAGGGTCACCGGGTTCTTGTCGTGGAACAGACGGAAACGCCTGAACAGCTTGCGCAGCGGAAAGAAAGAACTGGGGCAAAAGATAAGGTATTTGTATGTTGCCAGTCGCTCACAGTTTCTTTTAGCTCCATGAATGAACAATTGAGGTCAAGCCAGATGGTTCGCCTGCGAAAGTGGTTCCAGCAATCATGTGCAAAGTTGCAAACACAACTTTTTTTGGTTTCAATGTTCATGTCATCCCGTCATAAATTATGTGCAATTGACAACAATTATGTGCAATCGACGACAAACCGTTTGCTGTTGTTCACCATCGTTTATACAAGATATTTTCCTGCTGTGGGTATGCTTGCGGCAGAAAGGACAAAGAGGCGTGATGAACATACCCGGCCTCTGTGATTCACATGCCTCTGTGCATGTGTGCTGTGTGTGTTGTGTGTGTGTGTGTGTGTGTGTGTGTGTGTCTGTGTGTGTGTGTGTGTGTGTGTGTGTGTG